AAAAAATATATAGCTTGAAGTTGCTAATAATTTTGTCCTTAAAAAGTTTTTAAAAAAATGTAAAACTGCTTTTTCTAGCCAAAATAAAACAAAATCAGACTTTCTCCAGAACAAAAAATACTATCAGACGTACTGTGAAAATTTCCTTGCTCTGTTAAACATCATTTGGGAAATATTTTTTAAAAATATTCATAGGGGGGCGAATAATTCTGACTTCAACTGTATATTGTATAAAATGTGTTGAAAAAATTGTAAAACAGCACTTGGGAAATCTTTTTAAAAGAAATCAAATTTCACAGGAAGGCTAATATTTGTGCCTTCAACTGTATAAGCATGCTAGGTCCAAATGTATGAGGCTAGGTCTGAACTGATGCTGATGACATTTCTTGTTTCCTGTAGATTCTAAGTGATCATGTATATTTAAAGGAATAGTTCATAAGAACATTTTTAAAAAGTTAAAATGTCAAAGAATGGTCCGATAGGACATGCCTTAGGCACTGTTTACACTAATACGTTTTAGTTTTGAAACAACGTTTTAGAATGAAAACGATCCATGTCCACACTGGCATTTCACTTAGAGTTTCTGAAAATATCTTTTTTCACATTTCACCACTAAAAATGAGCAGCGCAGGTTGGACAGTTCATCAAAGATCTTCCACTGCATTTCATCTTACTATAGTTGTCAGATGTGATTTTTAACTTATCTTGTCTCTATGTAATGGTCTTTTGAATCTATTCAGCATTATATCTATTGAATCTACCGTGTTTGGCTGAGTGCAAAAAAAAATTAATATATTAATTTATGTAACCACGAATACTGATTCTAAACGTTTGACTGATTGCTTGCCTTAATTTCCTATATTGTATAAACTTATTGTGTGTTAGACTTTTTTAATGGCCATTATTGATTATTAAAACTTAATATTCAGCAAACGAGAGGATGTGTTTCATATTTTTCAAAGAAAATGAAAGGAACCAGTTATATCATAGGATCCAGTTTGTGATAAATATGTATACAATGAAGATGACGATCATATAAATATGTAGATGCCTCAACATTTTTGGTGTCTGTTAAGTTAATATGAAAATGAACAGTTCCTTGTATCATGTTTTCACTTTATTGTTAAGGTAGTGAAAGTGTAGAAGGGTGATCCAAATGACGTTATAAAGTACACTGTTTTACCCAACATGTCTTTGGGAGTTTGTTTTCCATATCAAACTTGCGAAGTCTGAACTTAAGGAAAGTATGCTAAGCTGAACTTTGTGCACTAAATATTGAGGAAAAGCTCCATTAAGATAGGGGAATGTCTACAGCCATGCCTTTATTTTCAGATGTCTCAGTTTTCCCCCATCTAAACTGACAAGGAGCAGCAGCATTTCCAAAACGCTTGAGGTAGTGTGGCCAGAAGGCGTAACCGTAGCAAATCATTTGTGTTTTAGAGCTAAAAAGTATTAGTGTAAACAGTCCCTGATACTCCAAAGGGTATGTGATAGGCGTTGGGGAAAAACAAACCTATATATACATATTTATATATATATATATATATATATATATATATATATATATATATATATATATATATATATATATATATATATATATATATAGGGCGAGGCAGTGGCGCAGTGGAGTTTGCATGTTCTCCCTGCCTTCGCGTGGGTTTCCTCCGGGTGCTCCGGTTTCCCCCACAGTCCAAAGACATGTGGTACAGGTGAATTGGGTAGGCTAAATTTTCCATATTGTATGAGTGTGTGTGTGGATGTTTCCCAGAGATGGGTTGTGGCTGGAAGGTCATCCGCTGTGTAAAAACTTACTGGATAAGTTGGCGGTTCATTCCGCTGTGACGACCCCGGATTAATAAAGGGACTAAGCCGACAAGAAAATGAATGAATATATATATATATATATATATATATATATATATATATATATATATATATATATATATATATATATATATATATATATATATATATATATATATATATATATATATGTATATGTATGTATATGTATATATATATGTATATACATATATATCTTTGGATGAACTGTCTCTTTGTCAAACTACCAGGTTAACAAATAAGATGCATTATGTGAAAGTTTAAGGCTTAAGAGGTGTTTTTGATCTCTAATAACCCTGAGGGAGTGTGTCTGAGCCCCAATCATTATCATGAAGATTCAGAGTTTTGGAGCCAAATGCAAAAAAAGAAAGAAAAAAAGCTCCTTGTGTGGACTTATATATTCCAGGTACTGTCAAGTCTTTTAGATATTTGTGACCTGAAGAACATGATTTATTGTGGTGTGAAATGAAATCAGTTAAATAGAAAGGACAGCATCAAATATTTTCCAGGCTTAAAAGTGATTTTTATAATCACAATTGACTCCTGCAAAGCTGAGAACGTCTTTGGTATGACTTACAGAGTTACTCTGGTAGAGTCTTTTGAGCAGAAGCTGTATGATATTCCTCAAATAGATCAAATTTAACAGATGGTTCTGATCTTCTCATGCTTTAATGAAGTGCTGACATAAAAGTATAATCAAGTACAGAGCACAAAGCTTTGACATATGATCCTTGTAATCAGCTGTTTCTAACAGTTTTGAGTACGCCATGTACATATTAACTAAATCTGCATAGTTTCCCAGCTGCACATTTACAGTGCCTGGACACTGACATGTCTCTGATCATCTGTGAGAAATATTTTGACCTAATAAGTAGATACCAAACCTTTTTAAAATAAAAGCTATTTCAGGACTTTTTTGTTTAGTATAATTTTATGATAAAGTAGCCCTTTATGGTGCATCTTAAAAAATGTATGCAGTTTAACATTTTTGAGGCTGTGTACATCTAGTCACTTTATATGTTGTTTTTTTCTGATCTAATATCTATTTGTGAAACAGGCAAGTGTAAATACCCTAAAAACATATTGAGGGTGGATATCAATCCAATTGCTCAAAGCACTTCAGGAGGTGGTATGGATGCATTCCAGATAAAAAAGGACAGGTCTAGATGCATCGGGTTGTTGAAGTATTTCTCTTCCAAAATGTAAAAATGTTATGGGTGTATGCTAAATGACTTAAAATTTAATAGAGCAAATCAAATAAGCTATAATTCAACGCCACTCCACAGATGATAGTTATTGATGTTTGTTTTATTGTCTCATACTATCATTCATTTTTTTCCAAACATTAGCCCTTATGTTACAAAATTAGAATGTAAAATTAATATCAAATTAATAATTAAAATTAAATTAAAAAAACACACCCGAAGTGCCTCTGTGAAAGGAGAGGAAAAATAGTAAAAAAAAAAAAAATAAAGTTAACAAAGGTAGTTTTTTTGGTGAGAGTATACACAAAACCCTTATAGTTTTAAATGGTTGTTAGCACATGTCTACAACAAACATTGATGTTTCATTTAGTCTGTAATGATGCAGAGCCCTGTGCGCTTCTGATGATGTTAAACTGATGATGTATCCCACATATAAAATCACTTGTATGTCAAATAAAATGTAACAGTTAAAGTTAAATAATATAATAATTAATATTTTAAAGATACATTTGCATATAGTGCAGAATTTATAGATTGCAAACATATCAGGCCCTGTTTACACTAATACCTTTTAGTTTTAAAACGTAGTTTTGCTTCGGTTACGCCTTCCATCCACACTACCCTGAAGTTTTCATTACCCTGAATATCTGATTGGAACTTTTACTCAATATCAAGTGCACAAAGTTCAGTCTTGCATCCTTTATTTTAGTTCAGACTTTGCAAGTTTGATATGGAAAAACAAACTCCCAAACACGTCGGGTGAATCTTCAAATTTAACAGTGTACTGTATAACATTATTTATATCACCTTTGTTATGCTGTTTCACTATCTTAACAATAAAATAAAAACATGATCTAAGGAACTGCCTATTTGCATAGCTACATATTTATAGGATCGTCATCTTCACTGCATGCATCTTTATAACAAAATTGAGGTTATAATTTTACTGCCTCCTTTCATTTTTATTGAAAAATATGAAATATCCCCTCTCTCTATTGCTGAATATCAGGTTTAATAATCAATAATGGAAGTCAATGATACAATACATTTTTACAATATAGGAAACAAAGGCAAGCAATCAGTCAAATGTGTAGAATCAGTATATATGGTTACATAAATTGATATACTGTATTAACTTGCACTCAGCCAAAACACAATACCTGAGAACAAGTAATAGATTCAAAAGACCAAAGAGTTTTGTTTAACTACTATAGTGAGATGATTAGATGTTTAACATCTAGATTCTATTAGATATTTAACTACTATAGTGAGATGAGATTCAGCTGTATATCCTGGACATTCATGTAGTGTGGATGGAGATCTTTTCTGAAACACTAGGTGAAATGCCAGCGTGGACTTGAATAGTTTTTGTTCCGTTTTAATGTAAACGGGGCCTCAGTTTAGCGAAAACACATTTATGTGGCCAAATGTAAATAGAACCATTTTCGCAAATCGTCTGTTTATAAAAACGATAGTGAACACTAATCTGTTACTAAAGAGAAAAATAACTGCTAAAAATAAATTATTAACATTTCGTTTAAACCTCCCTTCTAGCCTAATTTGTCTCATTTACTCCATATATATTGTTTTGTTTACAAAAAAGTACTCATTAATTTATCTTAACTTTATTTTGAGTAACAAAGGCATTGTACATAAAAATAGTATAGACTACAAGACTTACAGTAAGATAAAAACACTGGATGAATAAAAAAGCAAAATGATTCATAAATTTGGATCCCTAACATAATAATAATGCTGTCATTTTTAAGTTATGTATATGAACAGTTTTTCAGTTAAAATTTGAGCTTCAATTTCAGTCCATAAACCTCCTGAAGTCTCATTAAATTAAATCTGACATCTGCACCATAAATTAAGATAAACCAAAATGATCTTGGTGCTATTTTAGAACACAGGCGTAATAAATTAAATATTTCTTTCTTTGTTTTTCAGATACGAAAGTTCTTTGAATTGGAGCCGCTGGCCCGAGGGAAGAGATGGATTCTTGCTGGCACCTCAACCAATAACATGGAGGACGTGAAAGAGAGCTTCAGTCAACTCATCAGCCTTTTGGAGGAGAAGGAGGTGCTACCTAGCAGGATATGATTCAGTCAAACTTCAAAGTGGAAAGTGGGTTTGAAGTGTTGTTTGCTTGAACGTTTTTTTTTATTATTTTTGCTCTCCTCCTTGGTTGTTGTTTTATAACCCACTGGAGACATGGATGCAAACAGCCACATGTTTTGATGAGCTGACTGACATGTTTGTTATCCTCAGGTCAAGGGCCACACATATGCTGGTTTAGTAGCAGGTGAAACAAAATCCTCTAAAGCGATTAGGATTTTACTGTTATTTGTAAAAGAATTAAGTCATTTGATAAAATAAACTTGTTTATTAGTTGTTTGTGCTGCTTGTATTTAAATGTTGCATTGTACATATATACATAACATATGTAGCATGACTCAAACCACAATTTTTAAAATTTCATTTGATATTTTCCTTGTAATATTAGAGCACATTAAGGCCGCATTTACACTGTCAGGCCTTGATGCCCTATTTCGATTTGTTGTCTATATCTGATTTTTATGTCTGTCTACATGTTCATTTAATTGTGACCCATTTCCGATTCATGTGTTTACACTTGCCATACAATTTACAACATTGTGTATGCGTAAAGGCGGGTTCAAGCATCTGAGCCACACTAGCCACGATGGAAGAAATGGTCTTGCTTTTAGCTCTGTGAATTATGCAAAGTTCGCCCAACTTTACGATGATTTTGAGGCAGAGGAGGAGGAAAAGGGCCATCATCGCAGCTTGCGCCTATGGTTTATATATGGTGTCCTATATGGTGCGTTTTTTTTTTTTTTTTCGGAATTGGCTCACATTAAACTGGCAGTGTAAATGGGGCCTAAGTATCCCTAATACCAAAGATTGCTTTCTCCTTTTAGAGAATGTAATGCTGTTTGTTTTTCTACATAAGTTTTATTACACTGGTTGTGTGTATCACGTTCCTTTTACTCAGTTTACCATCTCCAGATGATGGTGTTCATTTTGTTGTTTGAAGAGTTGACACACCCATCTACTTGGCACTGGCTGAGCTGTTTTCAGATTTGAGCTGGAATACAAACTCTATCAATCAGTGTCCGCAACAGCTGCATTTGACAAGTCCCTGTCCGCCAGGCTTAAGCCCTCCAACTGTCTGTGCTGTGGAGTCTCCTCCCTGTCTGCCACCTCACTCCTCGCCCAGCCTCACCCGCTGCTGCTTCCTGCTGATTTTAGCCAGCTTCCTCTCCAAGGATTCCTCAGTGTGCACCTTTCTCATGTGTGTAATTTAACTCATTGGAGTCCCCAGACTTGTTTCGGAGGACTGTGGGACATTTATAGTGTTAACTAGGTTGCGTCTGGCTTGCCTGCCAATTGCCATATGATGTCTTTTTTTGGGGGGGGATCTATTCTGTACTGCCTTTCAATTGATTTGAGCACATAAATCAGATAGACTGATCCTTAGTGTACTTTGATTTATCAATCCTCAGGATCACACTTTACTTATAGGTTTAGTTCACTAGAAATATGTAATGCATTAGGTATTAATGATTGGGAGGTTTTATTCATTTGTGTTGATGTTAAACTGCAGAAATTGTACTATTGGTAAATTTGTAATGTTATTTTATACAACTAGAACTTATCTTATTGTATGGATAGAAAATTAAAACTGCAAATATCTCTTTGATTCATTTTTATACTTTTTTAAAATCAGCATATAGTATATGATTAGCTTTAGAAATTTTTGGTAATAGTTCAAATTGATGTTTTGTTTAGATTGTCTGCTGCTGTTTTAATCTTACTTCAAACGAAAGTGATTTTTGTGTGTTTTGTGTCTATATAAATACATATTTATTTTATTCATTTATTCATTCATTTTCTTTTCGGCTTAGTCCCTTATTAATCAGGGGTTGCCACCGTGGAATGAACCGCCATCTGATCCAGCATATGTTTTACACAGCGGTTGCCCTTCCAGCCGCAACCCAACAGTAGGAAACACCTATGCACTCTTGCATTCACACAGTTAGTTTATTCAGTTCACCTATAGCACATGTGTTTGGACTGTGGAGGAAACCAGAGCACCCTGAGGAAACCCACATGAAAATGGGGTGAACATGCAAACTCCACACAGAAATGCCAACTGAGCTGGAGCTCAAACCAGCGACCTTCTTGCTTGTATTTATATGCAAATATTTTTGATGATTTTTTTGTGCCAACTAGCTAAAAAGTAACGTTATTTAAAGGTTTATAGTTGTCGATATAAAATCATTTAAAATTATCATTTGCAATTGTCTATTAATTCTGACATGAGCACGTATGTGCTAAATATATCTGATATGCCTTTGGTTATTTAATAGCTCCACCTTCGTCCGGCAAAATCAAAGCATCTCCGTGCAATAATCAAAGTGTCCATCGTATCATTGCTTCCCCATCTAATCTCTGTCTGAAACACAAATTTCATGCGCTCTCAGTCTGATGTAGATAAAAAAGGGAAGTTAACGTTTCTCAGACAGGGTTCCTGATCCAGCCAGGTTTATTTTTTTTCTTCGCCTCTTTTTAAAACTACCCACGTTGCTTTAATACAATGTCTGTCACGCAGGTTGCCCCTGCGCTTCTTTGATGTGCTCTTCCTCTGTCTGCGGCTGACGCTCCTCTCTAGTCTGCTGCTCTTGTCTCGCCGCTCTCAGAGAAAGCCCTTTGCCCCTTCTTTCTCGGGCGCTCTGCTTCCCTTTGGTCACGCTAATGGAGCCCACCCTCAAAGCCGAAACGCTGCAGAAAACCAGTTTGGCCTGTTAGAATTGGCCTGTCTGTCCTCGGAAGAGGCCCACAGACAACGATTGCGCAGGCCCTAAGGCCAGGAACTTATTAAATGCCCCATTCCTCTGCTTCGTGCACCATTATCTGGATGTCAATAATGTAATTAGATACACACCGGGACACCTTGCAGGTACTGAGACAAACACAGCCTAGCTTTTTTGTTTTGTTTTTGGCTGCAGTCTGGCAGTTTTTTATGGCACCGAGCGCTCTTAAAACCCTCCCACATGGGATGTCTTTTATAATACCAGTCTTAACTCCATTTGCATATCATTTTTCTCGCTTGGCTCAGTTTCACACTTGCTGTGTCTAGACAGAGATTATTTTTAGTTCCTTAGCAGGAATTCACCAGCAACTGACAAAGACTTGGAACAGAGTGTGGTGATCATTGTTAGGTTGACTTTCCAGAAAGGAGGGGAAACGCTTTTGCTCGATATCCTCTTGAAAGTCTTTTCCCAGTTGTGTTTGTTCAAAGGCGAGCTCGCCTCATCATTTAAGTCCTCTCAGTCTGAAATGGTAATGCATGACTCGTCAGGGAACCTTTTTGTTTACTAGGAAAACAAAGCACGTTCCTTCAAACGCCGAATGTTTTGCTCTCCCTTCGTCCAAACAGCCGAGTAATCTCAGGCTTTCACAACCTGTTGAAGGGGCTTGCCCCTGTGGAAATGCAACAGATGTTCCCTTGACATCCATCTGGTCCTCGTGATCCAGTATCATGCCACGCTGTGAGGCCTTTTTGTTTTTTAACATTTTCAGCTTGTTCTCCGGTCAGGGGGCCAGTGTCCCATGCCTTATGCATGACCAGGAGACAGTGCCACCGGTGACTTTACTCAGCCTGAGATTAAAAATAAACACAGTAGTTTCTCCCACCCTGGGTCAGTGTTGACAACTTGACTAGGGACAAAAGATTTGGTTTGTGTTCCCTTATTTGCATCTTGGAGAAAGGAGGAAATAGGCATACATCCAGGGTTCATTTGAAGGTGTTATCCTATGCATGTCAGGTTTCTCAGCATGGCATCACACACCTAAAACAAACAACATGTGTGAACTATCAATGATATCAGCTGCTGTGGGAAACCTTGATAAGGGCAAAAATTAAAGGATTAGTTCACATAAAATGTAAATCCTATACAAATTGATGTCGTTGGGTTACAATGTCACACATAAGGTTTGGTGTCATTATGTCAACGCATAGAGCTTCAGATACTGTGTGACATCATGACTTCAAATTCATTGATGTACATTAAAGTTCCATGACATTCTTTTTAATATGTGTGTGATTGCATGTAAAATTTGGTGAAAATTAGACCTGGAGTATATTTATATATTTTAAAATGAAAGCAATTATATACATAGGTTTTCAGATTTTGGTGTGAATGATTTTAATTGCTCACGAGAGATCAACAGTCAAGGAAGGGTTTAAAAAATGTTTGTTGTTAAATTCAAACTGGCAGAAAAAAACTATGTTGTAGAGTGTAATTGAATCCAAATAATCAGGCCTATAGCTTAAGATATCACCATTAACCTAAAAATTTATCTCCAAATTTGATCATTATGATAAATAGGGTTTTCTTTTCCTTGATCATGACTTCTTTATATCACATTTAGTCATGTATTTTCAAGACTTTATTTAGCTTACCTTGAGTATTGGAATTTCTGGAATATCATGGAATTTTAAAAGGTTTGTTCCAGTCATTGAAAGTCATGTAACTTTTCAGATTTTTATCTCAAAGTTAAAGGATATCAGAGATTTCTGTGTGTTGCCTCATTTTTTTATTTTCATTTATCAAAATGTGTTTTTTCCATGCTGTATTTTAAAGTCATTTTGTTCCACACTTGTTGTTAGTCTATTTTAGCTATTTTTTATTCCTTTTATGCTCATTAACTGGCATTCACTTTAGGCATATGCGGTAACCAGGCTGTAATTGTTAACTAAGGCTAACGTGCCAGCATAATATACACTTTTTGGCTTTAAAATGACCTCTTCGAAGACTGGATGTTAAAAAGCCAATAACCGAAAAGGTACATTGTAATTGTAACTGTAATTGAAAGCTTTGTTAAACTACCATTGAGGTATCAAGTCAGGGAATTTGATATTTAGCCTAAATTGGGAACCCTGTTCATTCCATTGATTCATTCATTTTCTTTTCGGCTTAGTCCCTTTATTAATCCAGGGTCGCCACAGCCCATCTCTGGGAAACATCCACATCCAACACACTCATACACTACGGACAGTTTAGCCTACCCAATTCACCTGTACCACATGTCTGTGGACTGTGGGGGGAAACTGGAGCACCCAGAGGAAACCACCGCGAACGCAGGGAGAACATGCAAACTCCACACAGACTTGCCAACTTACTCAGCCGAGACTCAACCTTTTTGCTGTGAGGCAACAGCACTACCTACTGCGCCACTGCATCGTTCCCTGTTCATTCCAAAACCCTAATTTCAAACGTTTCTGTTTACAATGTCTTAAAATGACAAACTGAGTAAACCAAAAGTGAAGAGAAATGTAAGCAAGCTGGTTACAATGACAGGACTTTCTG